TCGCTTTAGTCATTAGACAGTAGTTATTTTATCAAATTATCCCTTTTCTTCATGAGTATTACTAAAGTCAACAGGATGTGTTCCATAAAAGCAGTTTTACCACACTGATACAGTCGTTGGTGGCATGTGGTGGTGATACGGTATGTATAGATATATGCTGATTTTGGGTCACTGCTTTCCGGACTGTCTACATACTAAAAGATTAGGGTTCCTCAACGTTTTTTTGGGAAGGGTGATGCTTCTATGTGGAACAATAATGACTCAAAGAACCCTTTGACCTCTTCAATGTTTCTTTACAGTTCACAAAAGGGTTCTTTGCTCTTTTATTGATAATAAAAATGTAGGGGAGGCAGCTCATTAGAATATTTAGAGGGGTGGTTTGCGCACAGCTCTTTTTGTGCAACTGTGAGTGAGAGTCTCATTCCAGTTAATCCAATGTGTTGTGTTATGCAATCATATTTTGTATATGACTATGGCCAGTGATGGTGTCTTGTGAAAGACTCACATATGGGCTTGTCTCAATTAAGAATAGTTGATAAATCAGTTAGTGTTCTCAATTATCTTCTCAGGGACCCCCAGCTGTTTCAGAGGTAGCTCACTTGATTCAATTGGTCAATTAACACAAAATAACACTTATGGAATTTTAACAATATAAACTGTATGGATCTTCAAAAGGATCTACAAAGAACCTTTCAGATTGATAAAGGTTATTTATAGAACCATTCTCCATAAAGGTTCTATATAGCCCCCAAAAGGGTGGTAACCATAGTGGAACCAATTTTTGGTGCTACCTTTTTTTAATGTCTCTTATTAGAACCATAGGAGAGGGTTCTTTATATCACCATACAAGTTCCATTTACAACCTTATGAGCACGGTTCTTTATTGAACCTTCAAAAAAATAATTATATATAGCACCAAAAAGGGTTCCGCTATGGTTACAAGCCAAATAACCCCTATCTGGTACTATTTAGAACCATTCTTTTTTAGTGTGTAGTGCCACCCCTTTCTCCCTATAGACACACACAGAGAGGGTCGACCACAGACAGACAGCACCTCTAACCCCACAGTCTCTGCCTCTGTTTGTGTGTGTGTGTGTGTGTGTGCGTGTGTATGCAGGTGTGTGCGTGCAGGAGAGCGCTAGAGAAGAGTGTGTGAATCTGCCTGCACGACCCAAAAGCACTTAATCGGCTGCATAGTTCTGCTCCAGTGACTTCAGTTTTACTATCCGGCTGTAGAAAGAACCATCTTCAGAGAAGGGGTCAAATATCATGGTTAAAATAAATTGCAAAACCATTGCCGGTATTATTGTTTGAAGAAAAAAAAAAAAGAACTCTGAATAGGATTGTGTGGAGCTGAATGGCTGCTGCAGACGTCAATATGTCGGTGTGCGTACCGAATGCCAACCTATTCACCACGTTTCTGAAATCTCTCTCTTTGCAGTTTAGAATGTAATGGCAGATTTATCTTTGTATACACTATTAGTTATTTGCTGTACTATCCTGATGTAATCATGCTACGAATATATCTAGCATAAATGACTGAATTTGTAGTTAGGTTTTAGTTTTGGCATGTAGTGAAACGTGGGTGGATGGCTTGGGATCACTATAATTAGTGAATCGGTAAACAAACAGATCGATCAAAATATAGTGACTCAACCTTGACATTCTTATGTTCATAACAGACTTAAAGACACAGATGTGATGAATAACCCCATGCCAAAAGGTCAATGTTCATTTAAGCAGTTTTTATGTTTAGTTAGGCACTAATTGGGTAAATTGATTGAAGCGGGCTTTACATATACAAAAATAAATCATTAGGGAAAACTGAATCTGAAATTTTATCAACATACCTTTTGAATAACTTTTTGGATATGTTGGTCCATGATTAAAAACAAGTTGGTAAAGCTAAGGAGGATCAGAACTCTACTTTAGAAATCTACTCATCTTTAATGAATGGACACATCATATGTGGTTAGAGTGAGCTGAACAGCCTGTTTTTTATTTTATTTATTTATTTTTATACCCCCTTTACTCATATCCAATTGGTAGTTACAGTCTTGTCCCATCGCTGCAACTCCCGTACAGACTCGGGAGAGGCGAAGGTCGAGAGCCGTGCGTCCTCCGAAACACAACCCTGCCAAGCCGCACTGCTTCTTGACACAATGCACGCTGAACCCAGAAGCCAGCCGCACCAATGTGTCCGAGGAAACACCGTACACCTGGTGACCGTGTCAGCGTGCATGCGCCCGGCCCGCCATAGGAGTTGCTACAGTGCGATGGGACAAGGACATCCCGGCCGGTCAAACCCTCCGTTAACTCGGACGACGCTGGGCCAATTGTGCATCGCCTCACGGGTCTCCCAGTCGCGGCCGGCTGCGACACAGCCTGGTATCGAACCAGGATCTGTAGTAAGGCAGCTTGCACTGCGATGCAGTGCCTTAGACCGCTGTGAACAGCCTGTTTTAATAGTAGCCAGAACCATTTATATAACCTTTGATAAGCTCTTATACTAGGCATCAATATAGTATTTTACTAGACATACACAGACACAATCAGTCTGGCCAGTGATTGTTCCTTGCTTGTCTAACTCATACCAGACCAGTTGCTCACAGACACAAATGTGTCTGACCCTCCACCTGGCAGGTTGACGAGCCAATCATAGATGTCCGTGCTAGACCAGGAAGTGTTCTCTCTCAGAAACGCGCACACACACACACACACACACACACACACACTAACTCTCACTCTCACTCACACTCACACTCACACTCACACTCACACTCACACTCACACTCACACTCACACTCACATTCACACTCACTCACATTAATGGACGGTGTTGCAGCGGGGCCTGATTAGCCGGGTCTGAATGGGGCAGAATGACAGCTCTGTCAGCATGGCAAATGAATAGTGTCTCTGTTACAATGATCAGTGTCTGAGTCCAACCCCGGGACAAGAGAGAGTAATTTAACGCTGTTTATCTCTCCTCCTCTCCGTCTACCTTCCTCCCTCTCTGTCTACCCTCCTCCCTCTCCCTCTCCCTCTCTCCCATTTCTTCTCTCTCTTGCTCTCCCAATCATTCTACTCCATCTCTCTCTCTCTCTCTCTCTCTCTCTCTCTCTCTCTCTCTCTCTCTCCCTTCTCTTTCCTCTCTCTGTGCATTTAGTGAGAGCTAAGACAACTGCTTTGTTGTGCTGAGGTGTTCAACATTGACAAGCTGGAGGATGTAGAAGTAGCCTGTCAGATGCCTGTTAACTACAGCAGATACAGATATTCCTCCCTGTGCTGCTAACAGATAGGCCTCCCCGTGCTGCTAATAGATAGGCCTCCCAGTGCTGCTAACAGAAAGGCCTCCCAGTGCTGCTAACAGATAGGCCTCCTAGTGCTGCTAACTGATAGGCCTCCCAGTGCTGCTAACAGAAAGGCCTCCAATGCTGCTAACATATATGCCTCCCAGTGCTGCTAACAGATAGGCCTCCCAGTGCTGCTAACAGAGTGGCCTCCCAGTTCTGCTAACAGATAGGCCTCCCCATGCTGCTAGCAGATAGGCCTCCCCATGCTGCTAACATATATTCCTCCCCATGCTGCTAACAGATAGGCCTCCCCATGCTGCTAACATATAGGCCTCCCAGTGCTGGTAACATATATTCCTCCCCATGCTGCTAACAGATAGGCCTCTCAGTGCTGCTAACATATATTCCTCCACATGCTGCTATCAGATAGGCCTCTCAGTGCTGCTAACATATATTCCTCCCCATGCTACTAACATATAGGCCTCCCAGTGCTGC